TAAAAATACTTTTTAATATTATATATATACTCTCTCGCCCATTCTTTGCTCTCTATACAATTACTTTGTGTTATATTTCATATGCGATCACGTCGCGCGTTATTATCATCATTCAACGCGATGCAATTAATAAAACCGTCGTCGTGCCGAGCGTAATTAACGAACGTGTTCCACTTGTTAATCAAACGTGCGCGCGTCCTGTGATAATGTGGCGTATTATACTCGGTATATTCTTCAATGTGCACGCGTCTTAAGTGCATCTACTTGGCGGAATATCTGTCCACTGTCGTTCATCGAGCTCCAGATACCGCGGCCGAAATAGAGCGCGGACAGAAATAGACGTGCTCGCGCGTTGCCCATGAATGTTCCTTAAGAGGATACCGGACCGTCCTGTTTTACCGGCCATAATAATTATATATTTGCTTAATATAAGGGTTTTGCGGTGTGTACGTGCAAAATAGGATACCTCTCCACTCGGAAATGAATGAAGGAATATAAGTGAACGTTTGAAAATGTATTTGAAAGCCTAGTAAGAAACATTTCGGTGTGCAAAATGTTGCATAGTAAAATCTTTTTTATAAAGCTTCTAAACTCACTTCTCAAAGTTCACTAATACTCTTTGATAAAAGAGTGCGGAGTTCACTTGTTAGGCACGTGCAGGTTTTTTATATTAAGTAAATGTTGACGGCAGAAGCCGATAACACAAAACTGTAATTTTTTAATTTTTTTTCACTTTTCATATGAAATCATAAACCCCGCACTCCGTTATTATGTATACTTTAATTATGGAAAAGGATTTGTTGATATCTATAATCAACAAAAATATTTTGCAATCCTACTAATATTCGCATTCTGTCGGTATCCGGCATCCTCTTAATGCGCGCGGGATGAAAGGAATTGCAACGGCGAGGAAGAGCGCACCTACGCGCAATCCCGATTATTATCCAGCAGCCGGATTTCGTGGGATATGCATTCGTCTGCAAAATCGGGACCTCGGACTCCGAGCTTCGGAACGCAAAATTTCGAAAAGAATATTCGATTATATCTATATCTGATAGTTTAATATAAGAGATTAGAAAGTATTAAAAAAACTCGGAAATTTTTTAATCCATGCGTCTTTAGACCTGAAAGTCTTTCAAAGTCTCGTTAACGAGTTCACGCTGAATCATATGAGCGACAAATATTACCGGCTACTTTTTCAATGCGCGGAAAAACCTCGGGAAAAAAGCCGCAACGCGCGCGTTTCCCGCGATCGGTAACAGACTCTGCACGTGCATGTCTTTTTTTTTTCTTTTCAAATCGCGCGAAGGCTAGACGCTTTAAACATGGACAATAGTAAACGTTACGCAGCTAGACCCAACTCGGCCGATTGACATTTTGAATGCAAACGGGTAGGAGGCCTTTGTGCACTTTTAAATAGCGCGAACGATGCAAGTCTAATTTTCGTTACCGCATCGATTGTCTTGCATCATATGTATATTGTAGCGCGTGTGTCAGAGCTCGAGAGTGTGTGATTATAAATGTAATTTCAAACTTCACGACGGCATTTTGAGAAGAAAAAAAGAATAGAGAATAGAAAATGTTATTAAAAAAATACGTTCTTAATATTTAAATATATTCCTAACTGCGTTTATATAAATAAAAGAAATTGTACAACAAATTTTAGCTGAGTTTAGTTTTTATCGAATTTAAAGATAAAAGATCAGATGCTTTATACCCGTGAATACAATACATAACTCTTTTCTTCTACATCTAAAGTAATGATGTAACTGCGCTTTTCAACAACGCATTCCGCTAATCATACTGCGTAAAAACTGTTAAACGCGAACATGCATTTCTCATTCCATGTTTCAGTACATTTCACGCGATTTTCTTGCGATTCGTAGCTGCGTTATAATCGAGGACGATTTGTACGCGTTATGCGTAAGAGCGCGTGGCGATGAGAGCTTGTGAAAAACAACGTTATGGCAATTGTGTTAGAAATTTCTGCAAATTAATCGTCCCGCCGATAAGTTTGCTAACGAACCAAAACGTTCATTACCGCAGAACTCAATAGGCTCATTCAGAGATCGCGCGATGACGTAACAAATTAGCCGCTAATTGCTGAAGGTCGGATCGAAACTTGTCGAATATATCCGTTAAAGTGCCGGAAATTACTTCGATACAACTTCGAAATAGCTTCTTTAGTAAAATGCTAGCTGTTAAGTATAAAATTATCGCAGTAATTTACGGAAAATTGCGTTATATTTTTGTGATATTTCGAGCAGCTTTTTCCTACTGTAATAATTATTATTAATTATAAATTATAAATTATAAGATATGAAAACGAGTCTCGCAAATGCGAGAACACACGCGGTGTAAATAGATACGCGCCGTGTACAAACAGACAAAGTAATTCATACACATGCACTTAGGGTGAGCGCAGATAAGCGACGCGGTCCGCGATAAGTTGGTGATCGATGCACTTCCGTGGGCGTAAAGTGTTCCAGGTTGCAATTATCGATAATTGTGAAGTGACTGATTTGATCCTTGGGACACAACTAGATAAAAAACTTTAACACGCATTAACTACGAGTCGCACACGGACTGTGCACGCGTGTGCGTGTAACCGGCTATTGGCAAACCCTCGCCTTTCTTGGTGACTGGCCTGACTCATTCAACGACGAAGAAAACGCGTTAATAAAAACCGTGCCGATTGTCTTATAATTTTTTCTGCTCAAAGATATACCAACGATACTTTAAAAATATCGGGAAATACAATGGAAGAAAATTGCAATAACGCCAATACCTAGCACCAAAATCTTTTAATTAAGAGACAGTTAGCAAATTTCCAAAAGAGAAAGAAAACAATGTCGATAAATAGGGATATAATAAAGGAGCATTTTTCCAATTTTAAATGTATTTTAATACAGCATATTTTAATCCAATACATTATAGATGTAAAAATATTTAAGATTAAAAACTGCGATAAAAAAATAACAATGTTCTTACTTTTACTTTTGCTGACAGAAAATCGATTGTACAAAAAAGGTATTTTATTATAAATTGTTTTCTATTCTACATTGTTATAGATCTTCAATTTAATTTTGCTTACTAAAAATATAGCAAATTTGGAAACTTTTTTCGATAATAATATTCAGGAATGTGTTACAGAAATTCGACAGAACATAAATAGATTAAAGTTTGAGAAATTTTATGTATCCGGCAATGTTCCAACAAAAAGGCGTGGACGAGAATGTATGTATAATGTCGAACTATGATGAAGAGCGGCAGAAACGAAGGTAAACACTATTATTACGTAAATATTGGCTGACTTAGTGTTCCCAGCGTAGTCATGAATTTATACGGTATAAGCATCGCGGAACGCGCTATTCCCTTTAATTCCGAAGCACTCGACCACGAGAGCTCGCACTGGTGCGACGCGGCCGTAATTCAATTTCGATCTGTACACACGGTCAACCGGAAGTCGATTGGTTCTCATCGCAGAATTTCCTGGCCACACGAAAGGTAAACGCGATCGCGTGGCAATGCCGGAAAGGAGATCTTATAAACGTTACAAATATAAACGCGATTTCATATAGACCCTTAAGGGGACCGCCTAGTTTGGAGGGTTAAAAAAATCAACTTTTCTTACATTTTCTCAAATAACTTTTCAAGAATATTTTCTGAAACTTTAAATGCGATTCCTTGAAAATTCTCGGACTTGTAATGGTTTGAGCGATCTAGTTCCGAGATAAGATTTTGAGCGCTCGAACCCTACCGGCGTATATTATACCTGGACTTGATTATACTTGGAATATAAAGGTTGGAATTGTTGGCAGATGTTTCCAGAATTCTAAGCAGCATGAGTCCTTTTATGTTTCAGGAGTCGCCGATTAAAAAAAGACCTATCGTAACCTGCGTGAAGTTAGCACCCCATTTTTGAAATTTTAAAATTCTAAAGGTTGTTCCAGGTTGTTCTAGACTTGTTCTAAATTGTTCCAAAACATCAAATTTATATTATAAAAACTTTCGCGGAAAATTAAAAAATACAATTTTTTGACCTAGGCACCCCATTTTTCAAAAATCGAACTTTTCAAGATTGTTCCATGTTGTTCTAGTTGTTCTAAACATTGTTCCAAAGTATTAGTTTGATTGGTTAAAAACTTTAAAAGATATTGAAAAAACAAGAATTTAAGAAAATTTTGTTTATGAGAAAATGGCCAAAAATGTTTTTTTCTTAAATTTTTGTTTTTTCAATATCTCTTAAAGTTTTTAACCAATCAAACTAATACTTTGGAACAATGTTTAGAACAACTAGAACAACATGGAACAATCTTGAAAAGTTCGATTTTTGAAAAATGGGGTGCCAGGTCAAAAAATTGTATTTTTTAATTTTCCGCGAAAATTTTTATAATATAAATTTGATGTTTTGGAACAATTTAGAACAAGTCTAGAACAACCTGGAACAACCTTTAGAATTTTAAAATTTCAGAAATGGGGTGCTAACTTCACGCAGGTCCTATCGTAAATACCAAAAAACAGAAATATGCGGTGACTCTGCAATGTCAGCAATTTGACAAGATCAGTGTGGACACGTCTGTCGCTATTGCAAATATCTCAACTATTTCATATTGTTTTTGTATATCAAAATCCACAGATATTTTTTGAAGTATAAATAAAATATGTGTACAGACATGAAATTGATAGCAATAACCGTTTTTCCACCCAAAAATTCATGAAAATCGTTGTTTTCTGTCGCTTCCAAACCAGGCGGCCCTCTTAACTCTGATGGTTGAACCGATTTGCTTTCAAATATATACTTGAAATACAATAGAATTTTTTAATGTAATAAAAGGAGTTGTTGAGAATTATTGTAAATTTATTTATCATTGCCCAATAAAAACCGGAATGTAAATTTTCGAATATTACTACGTGAAATATTGAATTTATAATTTTATTTTCGATATATAAATTATCTGAAATATGATTTCATTTGTACTTACAATTGCAGTTGCAGTTTAATCTAAATGTCAACGGATCGCTATTGTGGCAAGCGAATAAATAACGACAAACTTAGTCTCACGATTTGAATCCCAAGGATGAATGGAAGCCTTAGAAATATTCCGCGTTGGCGAGCTAATATTGTGCAAGGAGTACGACACATGTGGAATGAAATAATCGAAGTTCCCAGACATAATCGCATGACGAGTAATAAGCAAATTATAAATAACATCATCCTGATGAAATAATACGACATTCGATCGGTAATACTTCGTCGTATTCTAAAATTAAAATCATCCAATATATATGTTACAAAAATTTCTAGAATAAATGCATATATATTTGCTATTCAAAACGATAGAAAAAATTAATGATTTCAATACAATCGTAAACAAGTAGATGAATAAAGAAATTTCGAGATTTTCAGTAAATTAAATCAATTTTATCTCAACAGGAGTGTCATTGAACAAAGTTTCTACTAAGAAATTTAATACTGAAAATTGAAGAGTTTCACGAGATAATACACACTGATCTCTTATCATATTCTCGAAGTAAAATTGGATTTTAAATTCATTATAGAATATGCCGCTTCCAGTCTGTTTTAGGTCAAGTCTCCGATTATCCGTACAAAACTCACGGATCGATATCTGGCTTCTTGGCGAATTTCGCAGCATTCGTAAAAGGATTAATAATGTCAAGAATCATGCGGAGTGAGAAAATGCAACAAATTCGCTTACATCTGCAAAAACACGCCTCTCAAGAGTCGCACGTTATATATACATATATATATATTGTGTGGGAGGCTGTCCAACCAAGCACCCATTGCTAATATCGATCGTGCCCCCCGTTCGCAACGTGTATGTGAACGACTAAAGTCCGAAGTGTCCGAGGGTGGTAACGTGTCTGTCTGATTCATTCGATCATGTTACTGACAAACCAGGTGTGCGCCATGAAAATGGCACTACGTGACTTATAACAATTTTAATTTATTGCAAAAATGTTGTTTTGAAAAAATTCCTAGCTAAAGATTAAAATCTCTTCTTCTTTAAAAAATTATAATTTTATATTTAATTGTATATTTAATATGATAGTCTTAAGATTATTTCCAGAATAACTTTGGAAGCGTGCATGCTAACAGCGGGGAAGTAAATAATGTTCATTTAAGCGTTAGAATACAAAATCTGAATAAATATAAAAAGCTGAAAATATATTTTACATCGTTTGTATTTCATTTTGATATTATTTCGTATTTCATATGAAATCTGATGTACGAAGATACTGAAATTTTTTCACAATACGTCCGAATTATTGACAATTGCGTTACAATAGTTGGGAAACACTGCGTAAAAGGATTAACGCTCGAAAGCGCAGCGATATTTCTTCCCATGTATGCCGCAACTTAAGTGGTCAACAATAAAGTAATTCCCGCACGGTCTTTAAGAACCTTTGCGAATTATAAACGCCCCGGTAAGCATTCAACGAAATACAAGTTTCGCATCCCAACGAGATACAAGCTTCGCTATCGCCTACGCGATACAAATACATGGAATAATTAATGAAATTGTTCGTGCTAAATTATATGCATTACGCCAGCCTGCGAGATTAATCCACGAATAAACCTCATTTTGCCTCGCACATATCTAGTTTTAGATTCCTCAAACAAAATATAATAATATAATATATATATAGACATATTATTTTATATAATTTTTTTATAAATAAAAGAAATAATTTTCTTTTTCACTATTTATTAAGCAGAAAAAAAATGTCGAAAGATATAAATATAATTCACACGTATATTCGAAGAATTCAAAACACATCTTCATTCATAGGAAAAGAAAATTACAAATTTAAGAGCAGGCAAGCGAAAAGATACAAACTTATACATATATAGCCGTGAGTTTTTTAGGTTTAAGAAACTCTTGCGAATTATAAATGCCCTGATAAACATCCAACGACGCAGAAGTCGACACAGCGAGTGGCTCACCGTCTAGTCCGTTTACGCGGAATATTTTCGCACGGCTCGAAAGAGAGGTGCAAGTATATATTGTGTCTGGCGGGAGTGTGCTCTGCCGGATCAATTATGCTAGTCTCCCCTAACGCGCCACTCGCTTGCTCTGCTCCTGCATCGTGTTGCCTCGCGAACGAACGTAACGGTTAGCGACGAATGTGCATCCGACGTGTAGACTGCACCAAGAGAAACTTCCGCGTTGCTCGTCTATAGTTGATAAGCCCTGCGCTGAGGTGGTAGCGCGAGCTCTTGCACTCTTTCTGAATTAAATATCGAAATATATATCCATCCCTGCGCGCACGTGCTCCCAATTTTTTTTTTTTTTGAGGACTATTCTGAGAGAATCAACCAAACTTTGAATGATTTATAGAGTCGGAGATATTTCCAAGACTTTGCGGAAATAGGGACAGACGTGATAATGATTTATGGCAACCGTATATGTTACCGTTATATTTAGAGAAGCGTGAATGAAGATAGTTGCGTGAGCTTTTATATTTTTGTAGCTTATTTCTTCGAAATGTTTTAGCTTTTATTTTTCTCGAAATTAACTTGTCGTATAAAAGATTAAAAACTTTGTCTTGATCTAATATAATTTAAATTAAATTTGATTTTTCATTAATAATGATATTATTTTATAAAAAAATTAAATTAAATGTTCAGAGATATACTAAAAATAACAAATTTATTTTACAAATACTAAACAGTCTTTAAAAGCCAACTATAGTAATCTAAACGACACGATTATATTCTGCCATGTGCCAGCACATACGTATACCAAATGATCGATGCAGAGTGTCATATATATAAACAATCACGGGATCAATAAGAAACATAGATATATCACAAACGTTAATTTTGGATCTAATATTTCTTCGATTACTCGAGAATACTGGGTTCGTGTTCAAAGTTCGCGATCACGAACACAAGATTTTGTCTTCGATTAACCCATCAAGTATTAAGAAGAAGAGAAGAACGCAAATATACACATTCTTGCTTTTCAATGCTTTCTGACGTTTATATAAAATGCTTTATACACATAACTATTAAAAATCCTTGATATTTTAAAACAACAGCCTTTCTCCTAACTTGCATATTCTAATATGTATATATTTAAAAAATTTTTTAAATATTTCCTTACTTAATCTTTAAAAAAAAATAATAAGGAGAGAGAGAAATGTTTGCATTTTAGAAATTTATATGTGAATGTAACGAACATATTCGCCAATGAAATTATCTATTAACGCGCGCGAATGTTCTTCAATTCATATACGAAAATATAATCATCCTCTATATAATAATTTCTTTGTTATTTTGCATATTGGCAAGAAGTAGCTCGGTATTTTAGAAATTAAAGCAAAGCGCGTTTCTCTCTCGTGATGCCACTTCGGACTTCCGTTCTTCGATTACGCTAACGAGAACGTAACTCGCTTGTGTTGGAAGTTTGCGAGATTTTTGGTCTCGTTCTATATGTCGGCAACAACATACGCGGTGAAAGGAAGTGCCGTCTTGCGGCTCGATCGGCGGCTTTGAAACGTCCGTTATTACGCCCGCTCGAAGGAATTCGGATGGCATGTGATAGAATATCCTTAGAAGCAATTTTCACCGAAGGAAGCCTGATATTATTATTCTTTCGATACTTTACTTTTTGTCATCCAAAGAATTACGATTACATATACCCTGCGTTTCTCAAAAATTAAAATTGTCGAAGCAAAGAAATCACTATATGTATAGAGCAACTTAATAATGCATAAAATTTTAATGACTTTTTTATACTAAAGAATTTCTTTTATAATATTCAACATCAAAATATGTGCATTTAATAAATATACATATATATATATATCTTTAAAAAATTATTTAAATTTAAATGAAAAATTAATCTTCGCCATTTGTATTCGCAAATTTAAAGTTTATAAAAAAGATATTGTTCTGAGTAGTTTATAATTTAGGAATAACTTTTATTCCCCCATATTTTAATTAAGAAGCAATCTGCTTTAATTTTTGAAAATCTATCGTAAGAATTAAACTCGGAAATGTTAGAATACCCTCTCTTGTACATTTGCTATACATATTATACATTATAATATATCATGACAATTTATTACATAAACAGCATCATATATCGCGAAGAAGAATTCAAAAATATTTCAAAGAACAGCGATAGAAAAGAAAAGGTAACGAAATCTCGACAAAAAAGGAAAACAAATAAAACGAAGTCGCTGAAGAAAGAGAAGTCATGCGAACAACGAAAGAGGTCGTTCACGAATTTTTTCCTATATGGGAGCGAGTTCGGGTATACAAAAGACCGGTCGCAATGACGAAGGGTGAACATCCATTGGGCCCACGCGTGATTATCATGTTTCGATCGCACCGCATCGTGTCGCGGTGCGATCGGCCGCGTGACAGCAATCGCGGAAAAACAGAGATGTACGAGCGAGCTCAAGCATGCGAGAGAGGAGAGAGAGAGAGAGAGAGAGAGGAGAGAGAGAGAGAGAGAGAAGAAAGAGAGAACGAAGACGAAACAATGGAAATCAGAGATAAAGAATAGAAGAAATATCTCGATATATTTATCTTCAAGAGAAAACTTCTTCTCGAAAAGAAATATCGAGAAAGAGAGAAAAGCGAGTGACGGAGAAATAAACGGAAATTAATAATCGGAAATAAATGAAGGAAAGGAATTTCTTAGAGCGAAATAAAGGCAAGCCGAGAGCGCGAGAGGGAAGAAGGCGATAAAGAAGATGCGAGACAGAACGACTGCAACGACGGCGAGAGGGAGAAACGCGCGCTTGCACGTACAATAATCTAGGGATATTCTTGCACGCACTCACCATCGGTCCTCTGGATGTTTATGCTGCAGCCGACGTCGATGTTGCACGTACCGTGATCCATGGTCATTTAATCGGTCTCGCACACTGCGTTCGGCACCATAAAACGCGCCCGGCTTCTTCCGTTACTACCACCGTACAACGGGGCCTCGCACGCGGCCGATTAATCGACTCGAGCGAGAGAGAGAGAGAGAGAGAGAGAGAGAAAGAAAAGAGGGACGAAGATGAAATCGCGCGGCGACGATGACGGTTGACAGTTACGGCAGCGTTCAAACTCGCGCGGCGACCGGTCGAACTTCTCTGTCTCTTTCTTCCCTCTTCTTCGCTCCTCGACGATGATGCTTCTCCTTTCTCTCTCTTTCTATACCCGTTGTCGCTAATCCTCGTTCTAGGAACGAAGCTCTTCTCTAGACTCCAAGGCACGCCCGATATGTATCTAGTCGCGGCTCTCGTTCGTCTCCTGTCCGAACGTTTACGCCGCGTTGTCGTCGTCGTCCCCGTCGTTCTCGTCGTCTTTGTCGTCGTTCTCGACGAGACGGCAAACGGTCAGCAGCGTCAACGAGCGCGCACGCACGCACACACACACGATCCGTACGTCGGCGTATCAGCCGAAACGCATCCGCGGCTCGACCGTTGGAGTATCTATCTCGCGCTCAGAGGACGACCGTTTGCTTTCGTGCCGGGATACACTGCCAGTGTCCGTTATTGACAACGGAAGAACTGCGATGGCGCCAGCTTCCGGCCGGCGCGCGCCGATTGTACCGACATCTGTCGGCGCGAATGTAAGTTAGAGTGACCATGCAAACAAAACTAGCTCGTACAGTAGCGTCACTGGATCCATTTTAGAGTCGGCGGAACTACATGGCCAAATTCATTCTTCGATGCCACGGTAAAACAGTCGGTTGGTGCACGTCCGTGCTAAATATAATCGTGGATTCAAAATGCGGAGAAATATTATGGATTTATTAATATTTTATTATCTACGCGTGATGTTTTGTCGTTTTAGTGTATACTACGGACAGCGATAATAAGTTATTATTGCAGTATTTTTATATATATGCACATAGAAAATAAATAATTTTTTTTAAGTTGATTTTTTTAATAATTTTTTTATACAGATGTTATCATTTTTTATTTGTAATTTAACATCGTTGCTTATAAAGTAATGATTATATATTGAGGACCAAGATCCTAAAAATATTAAAGAAAACTATCTTGAATTATATGTATTGACGAATTTGTCTTTTCTATGAAAAATTAAATTAAAATATTTCTGATCATTAAATATCTAAATAATTCACAAAAATTTCTATAAATTTTTTTTTTCCGATTTCAACATTTCTTATTTTTGCACAGCTTGTTGTTCCGTGGCTTGACGAATCAACGATTTTAACTCTTCCAAATTAAAATTTTCACTTTCCAATAATCGTTCAATGATGCGCGCCGCCCTAAAAACACATAAATCACACAATTATTATCACACACACAGTCACAACAAACATATTTAATTAATTTTTCATCAAGTATAAATTTATCATATCAAATTATAATTCTCACATATCTTGTCTTGCAGCTTCTGGTAGTCGCGGAGGTAACTCGCCAGCTTTAAATTTTTCGTAAACCTGCAAAAATGCTTTGACTTTAAAGGGCTCTCATGACGATAAAATCAAACATTATTAAATTATTTTATTTCATACATGCAAGAAATCTTCAACAATTACCTCTAATGCTCGTTTAACAATCTGTTCGTCCAAACCAGCACTTCGCGCAGCTGCATGTGCAAAACTACGTGTTGCGTGTCCAGTAGTTATACGATAAAGATATGCCACGGAGCCGTCGTTGTTTGTAACAAACTCGAAAGTCTGTACAATAAATATAATTACTAAATATCATTAAATAAAAATAAAAGTATAATAAAATATATTTACGCGTGATGTTTTGTCGTTTTAGTGTATACTACGGACAGCGATAATAAGTTATTATTGCAGTATTTTTATATATATGCACATAGAAAATAAATAATTTTTTTTAAGTTGATTTTTTTAATAATTTTTTTATACAGATGTTATCATTTTTTATTTGTAATTTAACATCGTTGCTTATAAAGTAATGATTATATATTGAGGACCAAGATCCTAAAAATATTAAAGAAAACTATCTTGAATTATATGTATTGACGAATTTGTCTTTTCTATGAAAAATTAAATTAAAATATTTCTGATCATTAAATATCTAAATAATTCACAAAAATTTCTATAAATTTTTTTTTTTTCGATTTCAACATTTCTTATTTTTGCACAGCTTGTTGTTCCGTGGCTTGACGAATCAACGATTTTAACTCTTCCAAATTAAAATTTTCACTTTCCAATAATCGTTCAATGATGCGCGCCGCCCTAAAAACACATAAATCACACAATTATTATCACACACACAGTCACAACAAACATATTTAATTAATTTTTCATCAAGTATAAATTTATCATATCAAATTATAATTCTCACATATCTTGTCTTGCAGCTTCTGGTAGTCGCGGAGGTAACTCGCCAGCTTTAAATTTTTCGTAAACCTGCAAAAATGCTTTGACTTTAAAGGGCTCTCATGACGATAAAATCAAACATTATTAAATTATTTTATTTCATACATGCAAGAAATCTTCAACAATTACCTCTAATGCTCGTTTAACAATCTGTTCGTCCAAACCAGCACTTCGCGCAGCTGCATGTGCAAAACTACGTGTTGCGTGTCCAGTAGTTATACGATAAAGATATGCCACGGAGCCGTCGTTGTTTGTAACAAACTCGAAAGTCTGTACAATAAATATAATTACTAAATATCATTAAATAAAAATAAAAGTATAATAAATAATTAAATAAAAATTAAATAATTAAAGTAACAATAGTAACGTGTATAAGATGTGCATTTTACCTGTTCCTCGATTATCGGACTTTGCGGCAACATGCTCATTATTCGATGCATATGCGTGGCCACAAAAACGTGTGGGCAGTAAATACTTCGCTCGACGAAATTATTCAATACAGCTGCGAGCAATGACAAGCCACTCACTTCGGACGTTCCGTTTCCGAATTCGTCTAAAATGACGATAGAATTTGGCGTGGACGTGTAAAGAGCGGAGTTTATCTAAAAAAATCGATAAATGATGAAGTCATTGAATAAAAATACAGAAAGTATGCACAATTAACAATTTGCTTTTTTGAGAAAATTTTTAATATGATTTTCAGTATTTTTTGAAAAATGTTTTCTACCTGTCGCATATCTTGCAAAAACATGCTTGTATTTAGAGCAATGCTGTCCATGGACGTAATCTGTGTCAGAATATGAGTCACTGTTCCTATGGTGGCTGATTTAGCCGGTACGTAGCAGCCGATGTGAGCCATGAACACAATAAGTGCAATTTGTTTGAGATAAGTGCTCTTGCCAGAAGCGTTCGGACCGGTTAAAATTTTTACGAGGCTCTTTCCGTCCCCGGAATAAGTGTCATTCGGAACGAAGATTGTTAGAAATTCTTGCAACGGGTGTCGACCTTGTTCTACTGCTATAATCTGACGCTCCACCATATTTGGCTTTACATAATTGTATTCTCGCGCGACTACGTAAAACGCCAACAACCTGATAAAAATAATGCACGAAATGTCACAAAAATTACGCATTTCATCTATAATAACTATAGATTTCTTGACAAATTTAAAATTGTTTTCGCTTTGATCTTTCTTACGGTTGATATTATAATTTCATACGATTCTTTTCTATAAAAAAAATCATAAGGTGTCTAATTCACTCACGTATCTAATTCAGCGCACAATTGAATCGCGTTGAAGATCGATGCAGCATGTTTATTTATATATTTCACGAGCTTCAATATAATGTAACTCTCTCGCTTGTTGATCCTCAATAATATATCTCCTATAGTATTATCTAACTCTGCAAAACGAACAAATGAATACGCTATTACGCATATAAAAATGATATTTCAAGTTACTCCATGTGTATTATATATCATAAGATGCATAGAATTATAAATTATATGACAATAAAACCTTTAGCACTGGGACTTTTATAATAACGTATATTGTTGCTAACAAATTTAAATTCTAAATTCTGCAAATCCACATTGTCGGCTGGCGACGGATTCCATCCGGTTATTGCTAAGAGGTATCCGATATTCGGTATGTATACCATCTTGCAGGTTGTCACCGAAGGCGGAAGATGGTCTTTCATATCTTTTTCTCCCATTCGTGTCAAAGTTTCGGGTAAAGTGCCTCTTAAGTGATGCACTGCATTCCGATAGAAACATAATATGTATATAAAATTTAGGCAGATGCACAGATGCAACAATTTTAGACATATTACCTCCGATACAAGAATTACAATTTTTGTTCGTAAAAACAGAATTATAATATAAAATAATATTTACATCATTATTCGAATTCTGCGAAACAGATCAAGATTAGCTTACATTTATCCAAATGTGAATCCACGTTTGCTCGGACGATGAAATCATTTTCGGATCTCTTCGAGCTAAAGTCCACTATGTATTCGATAAAATATTTGACGTAACGTACTTCGTTCGTGATACTATCAACGATTTTACGAAACAGTTTTATTTTTTCACGATGTTTTTCGCATATGTCGGCGATGTATATTATGGAAGATATCGTCTTGTGTAGCGTGAAATATAAAATAGAATATGAGATAAAAACATAGTAAAAAAACATCATGAATAAATTACGTTGACTAAAAAAGAAAAATTTAATAAACCTTATGCAATCGTCGCCAATCAGAAATTTTAGCCTGCTGCGCTAGATATCGATCCAAAATAACATTAGTCAAACGATAAACGTGTTTCAAACATGACATCAAATTTTCGACGATACTCTGATTATCCGGATTAAGACAAAATTCGATAACTTCGAATCTTCCATTAAGAATGTCGATATTTCTTGTAGGATGTCGCAACGTTCTCCTACACACACAATAAATCTCTATTTAAAATATTACTCTATATAATGAGACATTATATATATGATAGTTATATAAAAAAATTATGACAATAATACGGCCATGATTACTTGCCACAAAAATTGTGCTCCAGGCCGCGATTGACAACGGCTCAAAAGAATGAATAAGCTACCACTTTGTTTCTTCGATGCCGCATCGCCACACTTGAAAAGACTCGGATGATGTCTGGCGTGCACGATATTTAACGCCTCGTAAGTATCGTCATTTATCATGACAATGTCACGTCTACATCCCAATACACAGTAAAAGAGTTAGCATATATATTATGAAATACGCATCTCGTAAGTATCGTCATTTATCATGACAATGTCACGTCTACATCCCAATACACAGTAAAAGAGTTAGCATATATATGAAACATATATTATGAAATACGCATATCATAGAAAAATATTCACGATAAATTATTAAAACAAAAAAAAATTATAATAGTAATCAATAAATGTAGATTGTGATAGTACAATGAATCCAATTGTTTAAAAAATATAATTGCGACTTTATGAAAGAAAGATTTAATCCAACAAGAAATCAGAGATGCTTTTTTATAAAAAAATTAATATTCTCAGGGAAATTTTCAGTGAATGGAATGCCATGATTGTACTATCAATGTCACGTCTAAAATATTAATATTCTCAGCGTGAAGCCAAAGAGACTCACAATGTTACGCTAGTCAAAGATACAAAGTTAGGTCTGCCGGAAGGATCCAACGCGATATTGCTCCAATGCTGATCAATGTAGATCAAGAGCAGACCCAGCGCGTGTATCATGACGATCGATTTGAAATTCAACAGGCCCTGAAGAAAGATAAGTCTCTCGACGTTGTTGGCGTTCTCCGGTTCCGACTCGAGCTTGAGACATCGAACTCTGTGATAGCATCTGTCGAAGCCGTGTTCCCTCTTCCGCATCACCCTCAGCGAGACCTGCGTCGGCCCCGCACTGCTCGTTCCCGGTGATTTGTTCGATTCGCTCGACGTTTCCGATGTTACCAAAGTCTCGATTGCCGTGAGAAACTCGTCGGACGTACCGGAAATCGTGACGACATAACGCGGTTGGCATTGTTTATACAGTGTTTTCGTGATGTTAAAATGAACATTGTCGTCGTAGGTATCGTCCATCACGAACAATTCGGAAGTGAGAATATTGTAGTAGGCTGCGCCCAATTGATTGTTCGACCAGATCATAGCTAAAATGATCTGCGAGGAAAAATATGACTTGTATTGTTGTAATAAAGAATAAATCAATATTTCTAAGATTCGCATAATGATAACCATAAAATTCATATCGCCTTGCATACGTTTTACACAGGGCGAATTTGTCATTTTTCAAGGGATCATTATTATAGTATTTTATTCACAAAGAGAGCTAATATATTGTAATAATAAAACTAAATTATATGACAAATGTGTAACAAGAATGGACAAAAATATTATTTAAAACATTTTAACATAATTTAATATATGAATTAGAAAATATACTAGCCTCGTCTCTATCAGTAAAGTTGTCAATTTGCATTGCAGAACCATCATTGCCCCGTTGCTTTTCCGCTGCATTTGATTGTTCCGTTGGGATATTCGGCCTGTTAAACTCTTCTTCATCGCTACTACTTTCGTTCAATATCGACTCGAATTGTACTTGTCTAAAGTGAAAAACATGTACTAGCGTGTTAATTTTGAAAATAAGATGTAACAATATTACTTTGATATTATATATGCATCTAACTTCTGTCTAAGAAAATCTGTAATGTGTATAAGAGAAAGAAACTAAAAATGAGGCGATTTTATAAAGAAACACAAGTACAATGAACATACATGTTAGTTAAAGAAGAGGTCGATGACGAGATATTCCTTGAGAAACCCAGCGAGCTCATTTTTTATTGTTCGTTCTTCGAATTTCAGATTCGAAATGCACGAACAATACTACAATGAAGTAACAACTACCTGAATTTGATTCACATAGAACGTTAGTCGTGTTCGCCTATTCTGCGACAAATTTCACACGATATATTTAACAATCTAAATATATATAACAATCTTTTCTTTGGTTTTTAAGAAAAATGTAAAAATATAGAATGCAAATAAATACTCTCTCTCTCTCTCTCTCTCTTTCTCTTTACAAATATTTAAATATAATATTACGTAAGATTCATAAGTTAAGTCTTTTTTTATGCGCACAATAAAAACATCAATATAAGAACTATAAATATAATTCATATAACATAATCGCACTATAACCTTAGTGCAATTTCCGCAGAACTTTGACCTGTTGAAAAAAATGTGGGAAAGGGATAAAAAAAAATTTCGCACGAATTCAATAACAACATTATTCTTTGATTACATTACATGAGCAAATATTTGCAGTCGCCTGCAATTGTTACCTGTACATAATTACAAAATATTGCCCTAAACCTGTTTAAGTAATAAGTACCCGGTATTATTGGTATTTTTTGCGACGCAGTTTTATAACTGTATAAAACGATCTCGCGCGCGATATAAGATTATGGTCTTTGATTCAGCTATTGCTTTGTTAATACTTACGACACATATAAATAATAGATGGACGTACCAAGAGTTGTATGGAACACATTTGGTTAGGAGTTAGATTGTGTTACTTGTTACACATCATATATGAAACATTACTTGACATTAGTTTTCGCGGACGTAATGCTACGTGATATATATATATATATATATAGATGCACGCGGCCATAAGAGTGGAGGACGTTTGCTGGCGTTCAACGCATCGGAAGATAAACCAAGACGCAATATCGCGGCGTGCGACTTTCTTTTAGACATAACGTAACGCATTCGATTATTGTGAGATGCGTTGATTTATCGCACGATGCTCGTCACCTATAATGCTCGCCCAATACGTAGTTAGAAGCGCGATCGTATTTGCTTGGCTTGGTTTAATGAAGCGTTGTTAAATGACTAGAGGTGTTAAGACTACTTACTTTACGCCCACCTTAAAACCTGTGCAGGATAAAAAATCAGAAAGCCAAGAATTAGTAGTCGCACAATACGCGCGAGTTCTTATCTACGAGTGCGATTAGTAGATTTAATTACTACTACGTTTCTATAGCAAACATTAATACTCATATTTATTAACTTGCAACGAAGACAAATTTGCAGAAAAAGCTGTCGCATCAAATATCGACTGTAATATCGAGGTAACAAACTATGGCTTACATTATGAGTTCTATGTATACTGAAGCAAGTACACAGAAAATAGATTACAAACTTTAGATCGAAAAAAAGATGCAGGAGTAAATTTAAAAGATTGTACATACTTTTCTAGGTTTTCGAGAGAGAAATAATAAAAACAAAAAGTGTTCTATGTATTAAAAAAAGACAAACAAAATAACTAAATAAAATTTTAAACTAAATAATTTCAATATTTTTTACTTTAAAACAGGAAAATTCTGTAAACAACTATATAAGAAAAAATATCATTTTTGTGATCACATTTGATTTTTATTTAATAGATTAGAAAAAGAGAATTGCATATTGCTCGCGCTTACTTCAGTATGAGGAGTGTACCAGAAATCATAAATCATTCGAGTCTCTACTCAAAATCTCCCTTTCAGGCATTATGCATCCGTCGACAATACTATTATTTTGGGAATCATTCTCAAAAAGGAGGATCGTTATCTCAAGCGGAAGTCAAAGGGACCAAATTGTATCTAACATACCTAGACCGAAGGGGTTTACTCTTGCCGCCGGTTTGCCTGGAATGCGGTCTTGTGTTCGGTTGCGATAGCTCGCTGTCGCTGCTCGCTAAGGAAGATCTCGCCGCCACGGCCCCATGAGCAAAATCTTTCCTGTTAGGTAACATTTTAGAGAATTATTCGCCATTAGCGGTTTCGTCTCGCAATCGCGGACTGTTGTATACGGGCAGCGGTCTGACATGGCCGCGAGCACGTGAGTGAAAGTGAATTCATAGAGATTCTTTGGAATGACGGACTCTTCTCTTCTATATACGTATTGCATAGTGCAGAAGACCTTTACCCTTCTTAACCCTTTAGCCTATGTATTGAAACACTGCGTTCGCTTTTCGTTTTCTTTTCATTAAATATCGTATGGTATATCACTCATGTAAAAAATAAATACAAACGGAAATAAAATGAATTACTTTAACAGACATATATATATATATTTTATTTATATTTTCTTTAATAAAAAAAAAATAAAATAAAATATTTCTGATCTTCCGGAGAAAACTTACTCTAAAAGAATACATATAGAAATTTAACTTTAATTCTGAAGCTCGAAAATATTATCTCAAAAAGATTAACGTCGTTATTATTAAAAGGTAATTATAAAAATTTTGTTGTTATAATTACCTGTAATTGTCTGACCTGGGCGTAGAGTTGAGATTCGCGGTTTTATTAGTGGTCGTGTGCCCGTCCACGAAGACGGCCGAGCTCTTGGGAATGTCGCAGATCACCTTGGGATGGACAGTTGTTTGCTTGTACTCCAGATGCGATGACGATTCAGTGGGCGTCCAGTCATAATACTTTGGCCGGTAATCCTTGTATTCCCTCGGCTGCTGTTGATGATGCTGCTGTTGTTGTCTGGAATCCGCGCTGGACGCCCTCTTACGCAGATACTCGTCGCTGCTGACACTGCTCTTCCGCGTGGTCGCCAACTTCGTCGGTGGGACTGATGTTGGCGATGACGCGGACGATGACGGCGCGCCGTCCGGGTCCGCGCGAGATAATTGCGAGCTGTCCCACACAGTGGGCAAACTACCCATAATTCGAACACTTTGTTAAGCAATAGCAAACAGTTCGCAATTTTCAAAATTAAAATCAGCAAAGAATCATTATATATGCATATAAATAATTAAACGAATTATACCTATACTTTCAAACAATTTCCAAAACAAAGTATATATATATTAAAAAATAAAAACAAAAACAAAAAAATTAAAGACATATATTGTATATCAAGATAATGTCGATACTCAGAAACTATTCAATCTTTTTCTTCATACTTATTGTTAGTTATTTCAATTCGATAATAATGTTTTAAACATATATTTACACAAGATACATATGGAAGAGCTTTCTTGATCGAAAAAAATCAATGTATAGATTTTTTGGTGTTTAACAGATATAAAGATTTTATAATTGTTTACTATTTCGGAAATAAATATGCAAATATAATCGAGTATTTACCTCATATTTTCGTCCATACTGTACAAGCGAAGTTGCTGCCTAATGTTGGCCTTTTCCCTGGCACGTTTCCGTTGAAATTCTTCTTCCACTTTACGCATCGCCTCTAACTCGCCTTTCCTTTGTCTTTCCTTGGCTTCCGCCTCCCGCGATAACTTTTCCGCCAATCTACGCCTTTCGATCTGTCGCACAGTGCTCTGAAACGTGAATCTTCGACCCTTCGAATTGTTCTTCGATGGTGGCTTGACCTCTGGCGCGACCTCCTTGTCGTCCTGCAGATTTTGCTGAGCGGTAGGCGAAATGCTCCGTTGTTTCATTTCGGAGATATTTTCACATGATTTCGAAAATCTATTGTTCACCTTTCCATCGCTCGTAAAAGGTTTGTCTTTAAGAATAGCTGAATTTTTGGGCTGCTTGTTCGTCTTCTCCATGTTCTTGTCGGATTTCCTAAATTCATCTACGTCGTTTTTATGATACTTTGACCCAATATTGTTGCTAAAGTTCTTTTCACTCTCCATCACCATATTGCTCCTGCAATTCAAACCTTGTGACTGATATTGAGAACCGTTTGATTCGGGCAAATACATCACATGGCCGCCTGAAGCCAGATAGGAAAACGAGGGCGGCTTCATAATTATAGGAAAATCACTGCGGTCCTCCAAATCTTCCACCAAATCCTCGTCATCGTCTTCGTCGTCGAAACTGGGCTTCCAACCGTGTGGTGAAGATCGCGTTGCGTCCGTGATCTGTGTATGTTGCAGGGATGTCGGCGCGCTTGTTGATAGTAACCAGTTGTCATCAAGGACATCGCGAATACGTTTCCTCTCGAGATCCAACGGACCGAGCCCGAGGGCGCCCGATACTGATCTCTTCAGCTTCTGCAGCGAGTTGAAGGTCGAGCCCTCCTTGCTCTTTGGATCCGGATTGTATAGATACATGCGATTGTCGTCGCGCGGCAACGATAACGAGAACACGTGTGCTCTGGGCGGAAACTTAACGGGGGTCGGCATTGGCGGAGGCGAATCCACGCCAGCGTCACTACTGGATTCTTCGCCCAGATCTTGCTGCGGCGTCCACGTCGGTCTTGTCGCCGGTGTTTTCAATCTATTGTTATTAGTATTGGTGCTGACGTCTAATGAATCGTCATTAACTGCGCCAGCATCCCCGGATATACCAGAATCGCCCGATTTATCGTGCGAACTTCGCGGGCCAAGAGCGATCAGTGGCGGAGGTGGCCTCGATAGACGTTCGATACGCTCCTCAAACATTACCTGACATCAAACGTTTCGTAACTCCTTAACCAGAAATATCTCGAACGATTTATACGATGTTTTCAATTTCATTTACATGGTAATTATTATTTGCTATAGTTGTTATACTAGAGTATTCTCTATTAATTATTATACATTCTTCGCGCACACTTACCGGAACTTCCTCGCTCGCCGTGCTCATGTTTGGTCCTGGTGCTTCTAATGCTGACAATAGCCTCCACGCTGCCGATGGTGAGAATCGTGGAATTTCTAGCTGCTTCTTAGGTAACGTGGGCCGTAATTTTAACGAAATATCCTCTATTCCACTCTTCCCCTGATAATAGCGAATATACGATCCAGCAAAAAAATTTCTTTATATTCTTTTCATTTTAAATAAATAATTATACTAAACAATTATATTATAAAAACTTGTAATTTTATCGATATTATTACAAATAAAACAGAATATTACTCACATCATCCGTATAATCGTGGCATTCGATCGATCCGTTAACCTCTCTAGCTTGCAACCTGGACTGTATCTGCTCCATATGCTGGTCCACGCAATTCCGCGACTCATTCGACAATGCTGCGTCCATGCCGAAGTAGAAAGTCTTCGGTGCGGATTTCTCCGGTGACGGCAGTCTAGAGAAACAATTGAAAACGATATTTCAGATCTTCCGCGATAATTATAAACAAAGGTACTAATTAGTCATCGGTTATCGACGCCATCGGAAAATTAATTGCTCACCTATTCGCATCGCGCGCCGCACGAGACATTCATTGATAAGAGAAATAATTAGAATAGCTTGGACGGGTACGTGCGCATCCGCGATTCGCGAGAGAGATAAATCGATCTGAGATGCAAGAGCAACTTACACGTGCCAATTTTTCTCGCGCACGACTTCCTTGACTTCTGGTTTCCTCACGAGCTTCTCTTTGAATTTCGCGTCCTTCTTCTCCACCGTCGCGGGAACAGGTTCGCAGGGCCATCTCTTCTCGTCCTGTGCGCCATCAGTATTCCTAGCGTCGCT